CCCACCTCCCACCCCTTGCTCTGCAAACTCCCTGCCCCCTGGGGAGGCTTTTAACAGCCGAGCATTTGGCTTGTTCCTCCCTGCTGCATTCGACGCGTGGATAGTCTGCGCCCAGGGCCCCGGTGCAGCGCTCAGGAGGGACTCACGTGCCACCCAGCTGATTAGCAGAGTGCCCACAGCCAGGGTTTTCATGTCTGGTGGTGGTGCACATTCGCAAATGCCTCGGTGCACATACAATTTATTCTGCACATGGATGGAAAAACCCAGAGGGAGCATTGTTTGTAAGTTCCATTCACGCTCAATGTTTCTTTCATCTCTTTCTGCAGGAAAGAATCTCTATACGAACGAATACGTAGCTATAAAATTGGTGAGTTTCTTTTCCTTCCCTCTCAGCGTGTGGTCCACATTGGCTCGTGTTTCAGAGCCTGGCCTTGCCAGAGGTGCTTAAAACAGGGCCAGCTGAGGCAGTTATAACGAGGGGTGGTGGTTGAGAACTTACTGCATGCAAAGCAGTTCATGAAGCTGCCAAGATGATCAGCTGGCTCATGGCAACTCCAGAGTGTCCTCCTGTCTGCCACACGCTAGCCATCTCGATTGGCACCAATGCGCAGTCTCAGCAAGAGACCAAGAGTGAAAGAACCGTGGACCCCGTGTCCACCAGGTCAGCATGAGATGCACCCATGGAGCTTTAGTATCCCTGCCCGGGCTCCTGGGGTCCCACTGGTACTAGGGATGGAAAGGGTTAACTGGATACTTGGCAAGCATGCGCCTTACGGGCACGCTTACTGGGGTAACTGGTTCACCAGCGGGGAGCTGTTCCGGTCAGTGCAGAGACCTGGCCAGAGCAGCCTGGGGGGCCCCTGCCAGATTGGAGCAGCCCCCTGCCACGGGATCACGGTTCATGGGTGACGTTTTAACTGGGGTTTCACATCCCCGATGGGTACCTCTCCCCTGCACTGTTTCTTGCTGTGCCGCCTGGGAAACCGCTGCCTCCCGCTCGGCCTGCCCTTGCAGTGGCCTAGCAGTGGAGAGAGCGGGCAGCCTGGCCCTGGCCCCCTCCCGTCACTCCCCTGTATGTCCCCCAAGTCCATGCACCCCAGAGCTGTGGCTCGCATTTGGGAGGGGGAGACCCTCCGTGTGTGGAGCTAGGGGACTGCTCTTGTGTGAGGCGCTGCAGCCTCTGGGCCGGTCCTGCCTGGCAGCGGAGACGCAGGCCCTAATCGGAGCCTCTCCCCGGCCATTGCGACTGGCTCTGCGCTCTCCGCGTTGCACTTCTGGGCGTGCCAAAGCCCAGGGCATGGAGGGACCTGCTGGGGAAACTCCCCAGAGCCCCAAGGAACTCCCGCCCCGTGTGCCCCAACTGTCTGGTTAAACCCCATGTGCCTGGCCCCGCTTCGGGGAGCGCTCGGCAGCAAACACTGAACACGCTGCCACGGAGCAGCCCAGGGACTCCCCCCCCCAAAGCCCTGGGCCCAGTGGCGAGTGAGCCCCCTGCTCCGTTTGTCAGCGTCCTCCAAGGAAAGGGCAGAGGGCAGCACCCCGGTTCTGCGCGAGGGAGGGGGCCAGCGGCAGATCTTGGCCCGTGGTGCCAGCAGTGGGATTGACACGATGCTGATTCCTCGGCCTTTCTGCTGCCTCCCTGCCCCAAAGTAACTGGCTGGGAGAGAAATCACCCTCCATCGCCCCCGGCCCCTTTGCACCAGCCTGGCCTTCGGGTGACAGGCCTTGTGCTTCCCTCGTGGGGCCTGTTCTCCCACCCGGGGGCCTGGGGTCTCTCCCCTGGGTCCTTCTTTGGTTTCGTTTCCTTTCCTGTAAATTCAGCAATTTGCCCAGTAGACCAGCTGCCCCCCCGCCAGCTTCCCATGGCCGGAGCCCTTCTCTGCTCTGCACGGAACATTTGGGTGGGCGGTGGCCTGCCCAGCCACTTGCTGGCCTCGTGTCAATCCCACTGCTGGCACCACGGGCCAAGACCTGCCGTGCGACGCGAGCAGCCCTTCCTGAGAGCCTGCCCGGCCCCTCCTCCGCTCACGTGCTCTCTCGCTCGCTTCCCCAAGGAGCCGATCAAATCCCGGGCCCCGCAGCTGCATCTGGAGTACCGGTTCTACAAGCAGCTCGGCAATGCGGGTAAGGAGCGGCCCTGCCGGCCGGCGGCGCCAATGGGGGAGCGTAACCGTCACTGCCGAGGCCCGGCTGCTCGGCTAAGGGGGCGTCTCCTCTGACCCCGCGTGTGAGCTGCCTCGGGCCATCTGGGACTCCCCTTTCTCAAAGAGCAGGGTGTCCTGCTCGCCAGGGGACGGGCTGAGGGGGTATCGCCCCCCACGCTAGGGCTGCCAGGAGGTGAGTTCTGGGACTCCCCTTTCTCAAAGAGCAGGGTGTCCTGCTCGCCAGGGGACGGGCTGAGGGGGTATCGCCCCCCACGCTAGGGCTGCCAGGAGGTGAATGGTTTCCGTTGCGTGCCAGCCGCCTCTGGTGCTGGGGGCCTTAAGC